AATCGCCCCTCTCATTCTTCCGCCGTTGCCAGTGATCGAGTCGAGCGACGGGCTTCGCACTGCAGCGAAATCAGGTTCTGCCGTGAAGCGCGAAACCCATGCCGACGCCGACGAGAATTGCACCATCGTCGGAGGTTGTCTCCGTTTCCCCAGCAACGTCAAGCAGCCCTCAGACGAAGATAACGAACACGGCGGCAGCGGGAGCGGATCAGCGCCGTCTCGTAGGCGGCTCAAGGACAAGAGTGACGCCGCCAATTACGATGCGCCACGCCCCAAGAAGAAACCGAGGAAGGAGTGAGAGCTTCCATGCCCGTTTGCACTGAATCAAGGGGGCGCGCCCCTTGAATCTTCGCCACCTTCGGCGCCTGAAAATAAACCCTCACCCTTTCGCGATGGGACCTGCAGTGGGGCGGGGCAGGGCAGAGATAGAGTTGCAGATTGAATGGTTAGAGTTTTGCATGCCATATTGTAGTATGCCTCATCAGAAGGAGGCAGCAGGGCAACTGATCGCACAGCTTGAGTTGCAGAGACCCAAATGCGATTCAAGTGCGACGCAAGTTTTTTCTGAAGAAATCGCAGACGATTGACGGTAAATGCTTCGCATGATTGAAAACACATCGTTTTCATGAGAAGCAGTGCGTGGAATGCTGGATAGCTTCAGAATCTAAATTGCACGTTGCATTTTCCGTCGATCATGCTACAAACGAGTATCGTTTCTAGACAGCGCTTGCCGCTATGGAAACCGACCCTTTTCTTTCCAGAATGGTCGGTTTCTGCTCTGTCAGCAAACGTGATACCCTACGCGCCACCATGAGAGACCCAATATGCAAGTAAAAGATTTTACCAGTAAAAATTTTACTTCACAAAACAAGCAGTAAAACTTACTGGTAAAATCTTTTACCATGTGTAGTGGTGTGTGTATGCGCACCGTTTAGTTTATTAGCAACATGTAATATTATATGATATTCTGTATGGTATGATATGGTATGATGGTGGTGGCCCATTCGGCTTATACCTGATAGGCTCGGTCCGATCGCCTTCGTCACTCGGAGTTTCGTGAACTTGGTTTTTGAGTTGGCTGATTGCTTCCTTCTCCATCCGCCTCCTCAACGGTTTACGGTGCGCGCAATAGGCAATCTGTTGTGGTCAGTCAGTGCGTCGTTTCGCTTGATCGCGGCGCTGGCATCCGCAATCGTTTTCTGAGCGATCCGACTTGTCTGTAGCTGTTTGCTGGCTCAAGCGATGACGTTATTTTCGCTCTGCATCTGCGCAATCGTTCTTCTTACAAGCTTCCCCACCCGCGCAGCATCAATCCGCGTCGGAATTGCAGATATGGTGGCCAAGAGGCCAGCAGCTGCGATGCCTGAGGATTACGACGAGGATGCGCATCCCCCAGTGCTGAAGAGGCCCGCCGCGGCTCCAGTTGAAGCAGCGCCTGCGCATCCCACGGCAACAAAATCTCCACCGCCAGCGCCGCCCCCATCATTGGCTCCGAAGCCAGAGAAGGAGACGGCCAAAACGTTCCAGCTGCTCCTGGCCAAACAAGAGAAGAAGCCATCTGACCACCAGGAACAGGCGCTTGCAGAGACCGATCAGGAGGTTGCGACAGCTGATCCCAGAGCGGTGAAGAGCTTCGAGAACTCGCTCCGCTACCATGCCACGAACCACAGGAAGGGTGCCACCGAAGAGTCCCGCGCTAACGCTCAGAAGGCCTTAGACTTATGGTTGGAAATGCCTGGCGGGAGCAGCGACAGACGCAGTTTCATCGCTGATGTGGAGAACAACGGTGGTTTCAAGAATTTGAAATGGGTTCATTCTTGCACTAAGTCACACGAGAAGAAGGAGAGCGAGACGCATTCCCACCAGGAGGGCATGTTCACCAGGCTCTCCAGCCGACGATATCCAATCGTGCGCTCCCCCTTCTCTCCCACCCCCTCCACTATCGCGCCTCGTCCTCCGCCTTCCCGCCGCTGCCCTTTTCATCTTTCAGTCTCGCCCTTGTGCCCCCCCTCCACCTACGCTAGAATGAATGTGGAGAGGTTATATCGTGATGGAATGAAATTGATTACTTTGTTTTCAAAAAGCCAGAGAAAGTGGATAAGCAAACCGCACCCCTCCGGCATGAATCAATCATTTTTGGGCGTCTGTTGTCGGCGCGCTATGATTCCTAACGTTGCCCAGGGCGAAAATCCTGGAGTTCAACGGCATCCACGCGAACGTGTTCACCATGGATCAGGCGCAACAGCAGCGCGCCAGCGATGCGTGCATTCGCTTGGTAGAACAAAATTACATCGCTCTTGGCCTGGGCCCTCAGATGGCGAGAACACACTGTGTCATCGACGAAGAGGAGCCGCTATTGTCGCAGCACTACTACAGGAACATGACGAAGACCATGACCAGCACCGACGAGAGGAAAAACATGTTGAGCTCGGTTTCCGCCCTCAAAAAGATCACCGATGCCCCTGGGAGCGCATCTTCTTCTTCGCGTGGCGCGATCGCTGAGTCAGTGGCCATCGAGACACTGAAAAAGGAGATGCATCCCGTCAGGGCCATTTCCTCCCTACTCATGCCCCCCCACCACCCTTCTCATCTCCATTCATGCCCCCCTTCGCCAACCTCTCCTTGCAGGATTATCTTGGCCACGCTGCGCAAGAACCAGGGCGCCCTCCTGCAGCTGAAGGCGAAAGCGTCGATGCTGCGCAAGAAGGACGGCCACTACGAGCAGCGCGAGACCGAGATTGGCATGGCGCAGAAACTCATGGCTGCATTTCTCGAGGATACGGAGACTTCGCTCGCAGAGGCTGCGTCCGTGGATGCGTCGGATGACGACGACGCCGCGCTGAAGATCACCGAGCGGCTGCAGAATGCGAAGAAGGCGGGTGAGCAACACATGGCGGGTTTCAAGGAGGGGAAAAAGCGTTGGGGGCGCCATTTCGAGGCGGCGTCGTGAAGTCGGTTGTTCACAGGGGTGCGATGTCTGAGCGCGCAGATTGCACTGCTTCTTTCAAGCGCATGCGTCTTGGTGCCTCGATGCTGGAGCGACGCAGCGTGTCATGTTGTGCTCCTTCGTATTTTCCATATTTCCATATAAATATTTTCCATGCTTTCCGTATCTGCCCGCCGCGCCGCGGAGAGGTGTTCCGGCGCGGCCGCCGCCGCCGCCGCCAGAAAAAGACCCCCTGCCGACCTGCGCAAAAAAAACGCCCCCCGTATAGGAGGCGGCGCCGCCGAGAACAGAATCGCGACGAGGGGGGGAGGAGGAGAAGGAGGAGGAAGAAGAGGAAGAAGACGAGCAGGAGGAGGAGGAGGGGGAGGAGGAGGAGAAGGAGGAAGGGAGATGGGGGAGGAGAAGGAGGAGGACGAGGAGGAGGAGGAGGAGGGGCGGGGGAAGGGGGGAAGGACGGAGGACGAGTTGGAGGAGGAGGAGGTAGGAAGAGGAGGAGGAGGAAGAGAATGTAGCGGAGCAGGAGGAGGAAGAGGAGGAGGAGGAGGAGAAGTGGGGGTTGGAGGAGGGCGGGGAGACGATGAAGAAGGCATAGCGTGACATTGGCGTTGGCAGGGAGGGGCGGGATGCGCGGCGCTGGCCGTGTCGACAAGACCAAGGGGGGCGGGCAATCCAGCTGTCGCTCGCTGGTTCTTCTGATCCGTAGCCGTCTGCTCAGGCCTCTTCCTTTTCCACGCCGCTTTGGGGTAAACCCATGCTCGAGGGGAAGAAGCGCCAATCGTGGGCGAGGCAGGACGACGGTTCCCCGTCGAAGCGCCTGCGCGGCGCCATCAGGGATTCATTTCTCGAAAACAGGCAGTCAGCACGGGAACTCGGGCATAAATTCTTGGCGCCGCTTGGCCAATTGCTCCCTGGTCAGTTCGGCGATCTCACCACCGCCGCGGTGCGACGCGGCGAAGGCAAGAACATCGCCAGAGATTTGAAGAGGAATTTCCTGAAGGCGTGCAAGTGGCCGCCGACATACATGGCCAAGGTGAGAACGTGGAACCCGAAACTGAACAGAGAAGTGCGTTCAGATATGTGTTTTTTGCTGCCGCACGAAATGTTTTCAGTCATTTGTTCGTATTCGGATGAGACGAAATTCTTTGTTACGGAAGGTTTGGACGTCGAGGCGAAAACACATCTGTTGCGATGCCAGGCGGCGATGGGCGCAGAGACCCTTTTGCCCGTAGGTCTCTGGGCTGATGGCGTGCCCAACAATTTCGACAGGAGCGATTCAGTCGAACTCGTTCAAGTAAATCTTCCAGGGCTGAGTGGTGACAACTCGACTTTGCGGGTTCCTGTGGCAGCTTTTCCCAAATCCCGCATGAGTTCAAACACGCACAACGACTGCATGGAGATCGTGCGGCGGTCGCTTTCGGCAATGGCACGCGGTGCCTTTCCGCCATGTCGGCACGATGGCGCCGCTTGGCAAGCGACAGATTCGTACCGCAAGCGTCGCTCCAACAAACCGTTGGGCTTCCGGGGTGTTCTGGTGGGTGTCAGAGGAGATTGGGCGAGCTACAAATGCACGTTCGGGCTCCCTGCTTGGAACGAGGGGGGCGGCTGTTGCTGGCTGCGCGCGTGCACGCCCGATCAGGCGCCGCGCCCCACGGTTTGACCGTGAATTGCTTCCTTCCTTCCGCCCGCGCCCTCCCAGCCCGTTTCTCTGCCCCTCGGGGCTGGGGGGCGGGTTGGCGTGGTGGGCGGGGCGCCACGGAAGGCGGCTGATTACGTGCATTTGTTTCCCCCGCAGGTTGGCGACGCGCGGGGGGGCGCGCCATGGCGGAGGACGCAGCTGCCCAAATCTGAACTTATCCTTCGGAACATGCGCAACGGGCGCGTGCCGTCGCCGTTGTTGTCGGCACCCTGCGTGGATGACCTTTCCTTGTTTCGAGTGGATTGGTTGCATTGTGTGGACCAGGGCGTTGCTGGATTGGTTCGGATCAGTGATGTGGTTCCTTCTAAGTGACAGTAAATGCTATGGCGGCGGGAATCGGGCCGAACGCCTCAACAGGATGTGGTCGTCAATCCAAGCCTATTACGACAGGAACAAGACGGACGACAGGCTCCACAAGCTGACGCTCTTGATGATCAAAAAGGCAAGCCGCAGGAGCGCCCCGAAACTAAAGGCCATGGCGGGCGTGTGCAGGGCCCTGGAGGGTTGGGCGTGGGAGGAATGCAACAGACTGTTCAGCGGTGGCAGCGAACTGGAGCAGACAATTCTCGCAGCGACGAACCACCTCCATAATTGTTACGAGGCCTTGCGGACAATTGTTATTTTCAGGAGGGACACCATGGCGACGAACGGCAAACGCTTCGTGCTCCTGTACGACGCACTCGCACAGCGACACCCTGCATTCTTCAGGTGCAAGCCCAAACTCCATCTTTTCGTGCACCTCACCCAGGAATCTGACCCGAAAGCTAATTGGACTTACCGCGACGAGGATTTTGGAGGGACCGTCAGCAGGATCTCACGGAGGCGTGGCGCCCCGATGACCACAAAGGCCTTCTCTGCCAATGTTATGGACAGGTTCCGCATGGAGCCTTTGGTTCGCGTGCGATAGCGCTGCTGCGAAACAAAAAAAACACAAAAAAAGAGCCGCCTGTGAAGGCGGCTGCGAATGACCCCCCCTAGCTCTCTGCCTCTCTCTCTCTTGGTTGTCCTGCTCTTTATTTATATGTCCTCGTTTCTTCTTCTCTCTCTCTCTCTCTCTGCTGGCCCTGTCTTCTTGCATGCGTGCCTTCGTGGGAATTATATTTATGGGCATGGATAAACATCACGGTCTTCGGCACCGCGCTCACGGTTATAACGGCGAAAAAAAGCGCGCGAGTGGTCGAAAGCGACGTCGTCCGCGCTAAACCACGCGCGCTAATTAACGCGTGCTACTCGCTAATTCAACAAGCTATGATTAGCGCGTATACTTGCTAATTAGCGCGCACCCGTTAATTTTAGAGCTGACTACTCGCTAATTAGGATTGACAGCGCTAATTAGTACATATTCATATACGTATCTGCGCTAATTAGCGATGGGAAACTAATTAGCGCAGATAGGAAGCTCATGGAGGGCCGGCAGGGCCGGCTAGGCAGGCAGGGCACGGCAGGCAGGGCCTTGTCAGGGCCGGCAAAGCCGGGCCGGCAAGGCCGGCAGGGCGCAGGCAGGGCCGGCATACCGGCCGGCAGGGCCGGCAGGGCCGGTAGGGCCGGCAGGGCCGGCAGGGCCAGGGCCCGCAGGGCCGGCAGGACCGGCAGGGCCAGCAAGGCCGGCAGGGCCGGCAAGGCCCGCAAAGCCGGCAGGGCCGGCAAGGCCGGCAGGGCTGGCAGGGCCGGCAGGGCCGGCAGGAGGGCCGGCAAGGCCGGCAAGGCCGGCAGGGCCGGCAGGGCCGGCAGGGCCGGCAGGGCCAGCAAGGCCGGCAGGGCCGGCAAGGCCGGCAGGGCTGGCAGGGCCGGCAGGGCCGGCAGGGCTGGCAGGGCCGGCAGGGCCGGCAGGGCCGGCAAGGCCGGCAGGGCCGGCAAGGCCGGCAGGGCCGGCAAGGCCGGCAGGGCCGGCAGGGCCGGCGGGACCGGCAGGGCCGGCAAGGCCGGCAGGGCCGGCAGGGCCGGCAGGGCCGGCAGGGCCGGCAGGGCCGGCAGGGCCGGCAGGGCCGGCAGGTCCGGCAGGGCCGGCAGGGCCGGCAGGGGCAGCAGGAGGAGTGGCATCGCCGGCAGGGCCGGCAGGGCCCGCATGCAGGGCCGGCAGGAGGGCCCGCAGGGCCGGCAGAGCCGGCAGGGCCGGCAGGGCGGGCAAGAAGGCCAGCAGGACCGGCAGAACCGGCAAGGCCAGCAGGGCCGGCAGGGCCGGCAGGGCCGGCAGGGCCGGCAGGACCGGCAGGGCCGGCAGGGCCGGCAGGGCCGGCACGGCCAGCAGGGTTGGCAGGGCCGGCAGCAGGGCCGGCAGGGCCGGGAGAGCCGGCAGGGCCGGCAGGGCCGGCAGGGCCGGCAGGGCCGGCAGGGCCGGCAAGGCCGGCAAGGCTGGCAGCCCTGTCCTTCCTATCTGCGCGAATTAGCTATATACGCTAATCGTATGCGCTAATTAATACAAATTCGCTCTTACATGAGTAGCGCTGACCCCGCTCTAATTAGGGCTGACGATTAGCGTTGGTTCTGGCTAGTTCCATGGGGATCGCGTATCATGCATGCGTCTGTGAGCACAGCCATGATGTTCGTATATCGTTTGCTGTTGTCTTTCTCCTCTTCCCCCCTCCCCCCTTCGCCCGCCCGCCCCACCTCATCGCTTTCAAAAAAATCGCCTCAGGCTGCAAGTTGACGCATGT